GGACTTCATCACGGGTCTGCCCCGTTCAAGAGGTAACACTGTCATTCTGACTATTGTGGACAGGTTTTCGAAGTTGGTTCATGCTGTGCCCCTACAGAAACTGCCTTCGGCAAAACAACTGGCCGAGATAGTGGCACGACATGTGTTTCGACTGCACGGGCTTCCTGAGAACATTACCTCTGATCGGGGTCCACAGTTTGTGGCAGCATTCTGGAGGGAATTCTGCAAGCTCCTCGGGATAACGGTCAGTTTAAGTTCTGGTTTCCATCCTCAGACCAACGGGCAAGTGGAGCGGTTTAATCAGGACTTGGAGACCACCCTACGAGCTATGTGCTCTAAGAACCCCCCGACCTGGTCCTCACAGCTCCCTTGGGCAGAATATTCCCATAATTCTCTTGTGAACTCTACCGGTTTCTCCCCTTTTCAGGCTGCCTATGGTTATCAGCCCCCCCCTTTTCCCCCATCAGGAGAGGTCTGCATCGGCCTCCGGCCCCGCCGCGTTTGTACGACGCTGTCGGCACACTTGGGTGGATTACCGCTCTCGTCTGGTCCAGAATCAGGAACGGTTCACCGCAGTGGCGAACCGACGGAGATCAGCCGCACCCGACTACAAGGTGGGAGACAAGGTTTGGCTTGCCTCGACCGATGTGCCATTGAAAGGGGGTTTGAGAAAGCTCCTTCCTCGGTACATCGGCCCCTATTCAGTGTCCAGGGTCATCAACCCGGTGGCGGTCAGGTTGGACCTTCCTCGCTCCCTGCGGATCCACCCTGTTTTCCACGTGAGCAAGCTTAAGCCCTTTGTGACTAGCCCCTTGCATCCGCCCCCTGCGGCTCCGCCTGTTCCTCGCCTTGTGGAAGGTGGCCCGGTCTTCAAGGTGAACAAGCTCCTGGCCTCTCGGAGGGTGGGTCGGGGCATCCAGTACCTGGTGGATTGGGAGGGTTACGGCCCGGCGGACCGCCAGTGGGTCCCCGAACGCCACGTCCTGTGCCGTGACCTGATCACCCGTTTTCACCGGGACAACCCTGATCAGCCTCGTCGTCCGCCTGGAAGCCGGACCTTGTGAGGGGGGTTATGTTATGGGTTACTCCTCCTGATTGTTGTAATGCGTGTTTTTCTTTCTCTGTGTAGGTTGGCTGTGGCTCTTCCTGCTGTTCCTGCCCCTCTTTGGAGCATCGGGGAATGCCGCAGCTGACTGCAATTTCCTGATTGCCACACCATGTATTTAAGCAGCTGCTTCCTGTGCATGGTGTGGCGTTGTTGTGAAGAGTTTCTGGTGTTTAGAGCATAGCTTTGTTTCGAGTCTGTGGTAGTTTTGTTTTGTATTACCCGTGAAGTCCTTTTCCCACTTATGTGGTGACTTTTTGTTATTAAAAGTAATCAGTATCGGATCTGGTCATCCTGTCTCCTGCATTTGGGTTTATTCCTGTGTACCCTCGCGTGACACAGACACCACTGAAGGTAATCAGAAGTGAGGAACAGAAAATGAAATAATTATTTTAATGTTTAGAGCAGCAGGAACTCCAAGAGGCTGCAGGCGCATCAGTGAGTTTGCGGCCGCTGCGCAGGGGGAGGGGGAGAGGGCTGAAGCAGAAACTACCGTTGTTAAAAGAAATGTGTTTAACTCTGAAAATGTGGGCGCAATTTTAATTGTCAAAAACTCCAGCGAACCATTAGTTCATTTTGCTCAAATAGAAATAGAGGCCTGCCTCTAATTCTGGCCCTCCTTCCAATAAAGGCCTGGAGCTTGATGAGCTTGAGTCAAATACAGGCCCGGGCCTGTATTAGAGGATTTACGGTATATATATATAAAGGGATTTCGCTGGAGCAGTTCGCAGCCGAGTGTGAAGCAGCTGGGATAAGAATCAGCTCCTCTAAATCTGAGACCATGGTCTTGAGTCGGAAAAGGGTAGAATGCCTTCTCCAGGTCAGGGATGAGGTCCTGCCCCAAGTGGAGGAGTTTAAGTATCTCGGGGTCTTGTTCACAAGTGAGGGAAAACTGGAGCGTGAGATCAATAGGTGGATTGGTGCTGCATCTGCAGTGATGCGGGCGTTGTACCGGTCTGTCATGGTGAAGAGAGAGCTGAGTCAGAAGGTGAAGCTCTCGATTTACCGGTCGATCTACGTTCCTACCCTCACATATGATCATGAGCTTTGGGTAGTGACCGAAAGAATGAGATTGCAGATACAAGCGACCAAAATGAGTTTTCTCCCCAAAGTGGCTGGGCTCTCCCTTAGAGATAGGTTGAGAAGCTCTGTCATCCGGGAGGGGCTCGGAGTAGACCCGCTGCTCCTCTACATTGAGAGGAGCCAGTTGAGCTGGCTCGGGCATCTAGTAAGGATGCCTCCTGGTGAGGTTTTCCAGGCATGTCCAACCGGGAGATGATCTAAAGGGAGACCCAGAACATGTTGAAGGGACTATGTCTCTCACCTGGCCAGGGAACGCCTTGAGATTCCCCCAAAAAAGCTAGCCCAAGTTAGCCTGTCAAGCCAGACTAAATAAATGTATTATTTGGTCTGGCCATGCTCCATTGACGGCTCTCGGTTGTGGGGCGGGTTCTACCGTTGTCTTTCAAATGATCTCCGCATTCCGCTGGACAATGAATGTGACATACTCTTGTTTCACTCTGTTGCATCATCCCACCCACAAGGCATATAGAGTGCCCTGATTGGCCCACAAAAGCGGATAAAGCTCTGTGATTTGTTCACTAAGCAGATAGAGCACTATGATTGGCCCACCATTATGGACCAATCACAGCTCTTTATGTGTTTGAAACCCCTCTAGAAAGCTGTGATTGGCTAGCCAGAGTCCTGGTAGGAGCTGCTGAGGTTCAAATGGATCATGCCTAGACCAAACTTTGCAAAGCAAGAATTTGGTCTAGTTCACTAGGCTACGCCCAAGTGGCTGTGGAGAGGGAAGTCTGGGCCTCTTCACTTAAGCCTGATTCATGCTTCTCATCTGCGACAGTGCGGAGACTCGCTACACCATTATCCGTCCTTGTGTAGGGCCCCAGCAGGCACACAAGTACGTACGGAGTCGAGCCAACTTTTTTAAACATCCGTCGGAACGAGACGGACAACTGAAGCTTGCGATTGGTCAGGACGCCGCTGTCGTCGACAGCGCCGCCATTGCGCCCTCAAAAACATAAAGAGAGCCAAGAATAACTAGTGGCAGACACGGAGAAGCTTGAAGAATGCCTCGCGAAAAAAACTAAAATATGAACATTTAATTCCCCGTGACTGGAGGAGTGAAAAGATGCATTTTATTTATTTATTTTATTTATGTGTTTTATTTGTGGACAGAAATGACAGGAAACGTGGGTTTAGAGGTGGTGAGTGCATGAAGAGATGGAGGAGGATGAGAGACAAATTTGTCTGTGTTAAAAAGTCTCTTATGTACAAAAAACACAATATAAACACACTATCTTGGACCGATACATGACAGGATACCACAGAACAGCGCTACGCCCTCTGGTGTCCTGCCGGGGAATTGCTTTGCAAAACTCTCCAGGAGGCGGAGAAGCATGAACCAGGCTTTGGGCTGCTGCCCCTGCGACCCAACTCCGAAAAAGTGGAAGAAAATGGATGGATGGATGGATATACAGGGATGTATTATGACTTTTTTCAAAAGTAATAATACTTCTATGGCTGATACACAACATGTTTATGAAGTTCTTGGCACAAAATCCCTCTAACGTAAGACCGTTTCCGCAATTTTATTCTTCTTATTTTCAATTCCTTCAAGAATGAGTCATTTCAGGGCTGTCAATTTAAGACAACAAGCAAGCGCTGACCATGCCGACCTGCCCCCCACTCAGGCTTCTTTAATCTGAGAAGCTCTGATATCCAAGAGGGGCTCAGAGTAGAGCTGCTGTGCCTCCAGCAGCGAGAATACAGAACATTTACCATTAAGTTATGGCCGTCATTGACCTAACCTGGCAGCAGCCAGATATCTGTGTGTAGCCCCGCCTCCTGTCGAGTCTACACATTTTGATCTGTAATCTCAGCAGCAGAAACCGTCTGAAAGAGGTAGGGCTATCTGGTAGAATATTTGGAGCTGAGTGAAGGACGCGCAAGGCAGCTGGCACTGGCTATCATATTTTGTCTTTAGCCAATCACAGTAACAACTCATGTGACGTGTTATGTCACGTGTGCCTGGAAAACAACAACAACTCGCTCAAGCTTCATTCATTCACTCACGTGGTAATTATCATCTCTTTGGGTGATTTTTGCTGGTTTTGCGAGAAGAATATGCACATAAAGGTCAGGGCTTCCCTCAGCCCTCTAGAAGCCTGGCGTCCGCCAGGCTTTGCTTGGTCGGCCGCCCGGCTAAGCGTGGTCCCCACCCCTCCTCTCGGACGGACGGTTTGAACTGGAGCGGTACAAGATGGATTCTCCTGAGTTTGGAAAACATCCAAATCTCGTTGACCAGAACTGAGGTGACATTTTATTATTTTATTTACAAAAGCATTAAGATTATATTTTTGTGGGAAGACATTCAGACGGCCCAGAAAATGTTTACGCTTGTTTGTTAGTGCAGTTTACTCTAGATTCCAAGTAACTGAGTACTAACCAACAGCTCTTTGGTCACCAGTGAGACGGGTGGGGTTGGTTCTGTGCTTCACAAGAGAAGCTTGGTCAGTTATATTTAACTTAGACAAGAAATCAGAGTCTCAACTCAGAAAGTTAATGAGCTTCTCTAATAAATGACACCAGTCAGAACTGATTCATCACCTGGCTGGACACAGACAGGAACACGCCTTGTGCAGCCATCAACACACACTTCCCACACACTGGATCTTTTACTCTGCATAGAATTAAGTGAGGAGGTGTGTGTGTGTGTTCAAACATAATTAGGGTGTGTTTGTTGGGCCCTGAAAAAAGAACGTTCCTTTAGTCTATCGTGTAAAGTGGCATGTTTAATGGATTGCTGAACGTGTTACATGAGGTGGAGCATCAGTGTGCCTAGAAGACAAACTCCACGTGTGTGTTGGTGTCTCACCTCCACCAGCAGTTCCTTAGCCATGGCTGCCTGCAGCTCGGTGGGAACGGTGCACTGCAGCGTGTTTTCTACCAGAGTCAGACTCGCACAGCTGTGGTTGGAAACGGTCAGGACCTGACACTTCATCGCCTCCCGGTCCATCCGATCACTCTGTAGAGGTGGAGGGAGAACAGGCGAGGTGGGATAGAGACAGAAGACGTATATGTCAATGTCCAAAAACGGTCAAAATAAATAGGCAGCCTAAGTCCCCTCCTCTTCCGGTCGGCCCACGAGTCCCAGAACAAAGAAAAAATTCATGTAAAAGGGGTTAAAAAAGCTATTTTCTAATCTGCTGTGCCTTACGCCGTGAACTAGACATACTGTATTTGTGCGTTCGTTTCAATTTGTTGTGAAAAACCCAGAGAGGGACACCCTCATCCTACTTTGTTGTTGGATATGACAAACCTCTGGAGAAGAGAAGCCGGGTAGTAAAGAGATTCGACAGCAGTCTCACTAAAACAACAGGTATGAATTCATGTGTACAATTGTCTGAAATGGTATAATGCAGTGTGTGTTTAGACTGCTGCTGTTAACCTAAAAGTGCCATCGTACAGTTTGATGTAGAAACTAAAACTAACCAGTTTAACCCTAACGTCCCCTGATTGAGGGCCTCTACAGGTTCATGTCCTAAACATCTACAACGGTCCACATTCTCCAAACACGACTAAAACCACAACCAAACAGCCCAGACGGGAAACAAGGCCATTCTAAATTGTAATAAATTAAGATACAATGATATTTGAACTTATTCTAGAAGAGTATCTGACCTTCTCTGGTGTCTGCTGAAAAAAAAAACCTTGAACAAATCATTGAGGACCCCTGGAATAAATAAAACAACAGAATACATTTCCTAAATGGAATTTGAACTCACAACCTCCATCCTGTCAGCACGTTCACACAGGGCAGCTCTTCTAAAATAAAGTTCAAGTATTATTTTATCTTAATGTGTCAAAAACCAAAAACTGCTTTGTTTACAATCTAAACTGGTTTGACTGTAGCTGTAGCTGTGCTCGGGGAACGCAAACACTCACCGACACTTGGGACGTGAAACTCCAAAGGCCCCCGATTGGGAGGCGCCAGGGCCCAAAGAAAAAAGGCCTAGGGCCTAAGGGGTTAAAGCCCAGGCTTGGTGATGGGGGATTTAAGGCTCTGACTTTGCTCCATGTCTGCTTTTAAGTAAATAAGATTGTGTCCCATCTCTTTCAACAAGACACGACCAACCTTGTTACGATGTAGGTCCTGATAACACTCAGAACTCTTAAGATTGTTTATTGTATCGTCGTAGCTAAGCAGCTCAAATACTACTGTACATTAGCTTTGGCCAGGTTTTAAGTTCATTCTTCCACACCTCTGGTGCAGCGGGCAGAAGAAGTGTGAAGCCTAATTTATACTTCTCCGTCAGCTCCATGAGGGAGAGACGCACACGCATCCACAGAGACGTTTAGCTTTCAGACTTCTTCGTCAGCTGGGGATTGTTGCAAAGCAATTCCTTGCCAGGACAACAGAGAGCGTAGCACTACTCCCACCATTACAGTCATGTCTCCGGTCCACAGTTGTGTATTTACTATTGTATTTACATTGTTTTAATGTATTTCAGAGACTTTAACACAGACAGATGTGTCCCTCATTAAGTGGTCGGCTACTCTAAACTCAGCGTCTCGTCTTCTCCGTCCACGAATAAAAGGCTTGCTGCATATCTTTGTACTCCTTCAGTCATGGCTCAGTAACCGTTCATATTTTCAGACCTTTTCCACGATGTGTTCTTCAATCTGTCCCATGTCTGCCGCTAAATATCTCTTTACTTTTTGAAGAGGCAAAGGCGGTAATGGTGATGAATTTACAGGAAGCAGCGACCTGACCAATCACAGCCCCGTCTCTGACGGTTAGTTAAAAATTGGGGCATGTCTCCGTCTTCCTCTGCAAGCACGCTGGACGGCACTTGTGTCGATGCATAATGGCGTTGCGTGCGTCCGTCCCGACGCAGACGGTGAAGAAATCCTTCAAGACGGTTGGGAAACCATTTCGGGTGACCGCATCTTAAATCTCATCAAGAGAATGTCACGAGTGTGGTAAAGCAGCAAAGGGTGGCTTTTTTTTAAAGAAAATAGAATATAAAACATGTTTTCAGTTATTTGACCTTTCTTGGTTAACTCCTCATGTGTTCATTCATAGTGTTGATGCCTTCAGCGAGAATCTACCAATGTAAAGGGTCATGATAATAAGGAAAACACATTAAATAGGAAGGTGTGTCCAAACTTTTGGCCTGTGCTGTACATTCTCTGCTGTTTACTGGACGCTAAACCACCAACAGCCTCCCTGGCTGTAAGCCAATGTGGTTGAAGTGACAGCTTGACGTAGATCTGCCAAGCTTTTCACATCCTAGTGTTTCATGCAGGAGACAAGTGTAACACACAATCTTCACGTTCTGCATGTTAGACTCAGAGTAAACAATCATTTTCAAAAATAATAAGTAAAAAATGGTTTCCCAGTGAAGGACCTCTTCAACAGTTTAGAGGCACGCCAGCGGGAGGTCTCTACCTGCTTTACTGTTCCTTCAGCTAATATAAAAGCTAGCAGTTAGCATTCTCAGTTCTACGACGGTCGATAAAAGGCACAAGAAAAATGATTTTTCCCTTTTGTTGACATCATGGTGAAGCCCGGTAGGAAAAGTAAATGATGTCTTTGGAAGGGATAAAGCGCTAAAACCACCATTACCTTCCTTTCTATCAGCGCTAGTCAGTTATGATCAGGGTGTAAAGTTCTCATGGAGGAGCTGGGCTAACAGCTAGCTGCATTATAACAACTCAATCTAAAAACATTCCAGGAGTTTATACAAGTTTTGTTTACAATACTCCTTTAGCTTGGTGCTGTTCTATCAGCTGATTAGTGTTTGTGGTGCTATGCTAACCCGCTTCATGGTAAACAAACTACATCAACAGTCTGCCTAAGGTTGTTTGACCTTTCTAACCAGCAGTGCCTCTGCTGTATAATGTTACTCATACAGACATCCTCCAGTTTGCTCTGAAACGGGCCTGTTTTCTTTGCTCTCGTAACAGCAGCGTGACGTTTTTGTTTTGAGATCAGACTGGCAGGTGTGAGTCATGGCTGACGTGGAGCAGGATGTGTTCGGCAGGCGCGGCTCTAGCAGTTTGTTCTAGTTGTGTGATTCCTAGTAGGTCAACAACAAAACCGCTCTCTAACACACACACGCACACACACGCACACACACACACACACACACACACACACACACACACACACACACACACACACACACACACACACACACACACACACACACACACACACACACACACACACACACACACACACACACACACAGCAATAAAGCGAACGATCACATTCCTTGCGTGACAGTTTGGGATTTTCCAATTTGACACAGAGTGCAGCCTCGCACCTGTTCCTGCACACACGCATTCTCGTTCTCACACAAACACACAACACATCTCACACCCACAGCAGCACAACTCACTCGCTCACGTGCTTGGTCTTGCAAGTTAAGCTGCTCACAAAGACCAGTTCATGAGATGCAAACGCGGTCTTATGTGCTCCCCTGCTGTCAGAGGGACAACGGCATACAGAGCGCACAAAGGAAACAAAGTCCTTCTAAATAAACTGTCAGGAAAGTAATTGGGCCAGAGTTCCTCCAAGTCTCTTCTGCAGTGGTTGACATGATATGGGTCTGGTTCTGAGCCAAAGTCAACAGTTTACATCTTTCACGTGTCAAAGTACAAGAGCAAAGCTGCCAGTCAGAGGTAAATATACTTCTTTGTTAGGCTGTTTGCAGCGTTTTGGGGAGAGACTTATCAGATGGCACTACATGATCCCTACATTCACCCTTTTCCGGAGGCCACAGCAGAGCAGGGTTATCAGATGGCACTAAATGCGGTCCGTTTCGGTGTGATGCCTTTTACCATCCCCACTCCCAGAGGGTGAAAACAGGAGCTGGCTGTCTGGGTCAAGGGGAGGGATGAAGGGGATAGACGCTGGACTGGTGGTGGCGGGTCTGGCTCTGGAGGCCAAGGTCACATGTGGGAAAAAGAGGGAAAGAAGAAGACAAAAACAAGAAAAAACTGCAAGGATCCCTTGTGAGAAGTAAAGCACAGCTGCCACAAACTTGTCAGGCTGCAGTCAAAGATTAAAAAAAGAGAAAGAAAAGTGTATTTCATTGTGTTCCTAAAACAGGGCCTGGGGACTGTGGTGACGGGCCTGAAAAGCTGCATTAATATGTCAAGAGGTTTGACATCAACAAGAACAATACGAGTCAACAAAGAGAATACACACAGAGGTACGAGGACGGTGTAAACGATGGGAAACTGAGCCCACGTCCTGTTTTTCTTTCTGTATTGTTTCCTTCCCAGCCTGACCTGGACCGTGAGTGGCTGCATGTGTGAATGTGTGTGGACAAGGAGGAGCGCTGCACCGACCGGCGGGCACAAACTTAAACCTGCTGTGAGCCGCTGGTATTTGTGATAGCTAGCTGACTGTGCATGGCAGTCCTTAAGCGTTTGAAATTTGCCACAGCTCATAAATAAAGATTTTCTAACTCCACCTCCATAAACTGGATAATGTTCTGCAGCATTCACGAGTTCTGCACCTGTTTCTGCCCGTTTGTCCTCCTCAGAGTCAATGTAAAGCTAGAACTTTACTAAAGATTTGTAACCGATATCTGTTGCAATGCATTTTGGTACAGTGCATTTGCTAATTAAGGACAACAAAGATGGTTTTGCTTAAGAAACTGTACTTTGAGCTCCACAATGCTCTTGTTGTCTTTGGACGTAAGCTTGGGGTCCTGGAACGAAGGGTCCTCGACGTAGATCAGGTCCCTCTGATCTGTTGAGTAGCCATCCAGGACAAACGCCACCTTGGTCACCACTGGAGGTTGGAGGGCCAGTTTGGCCAGAGAAGGAGTGGTGCACTGGATCGAGGTCCGGTTTTCGCCATACACACAGCTCTGGAAATGAGACCACACACAAAAATAATTGGTTGGGTTAGGAAAATGAACAACACAGCTCTAAAAGAAGCCCGCACATCTGTAAACCCATGTCTGACTGCTTCATTTTGCATCCAACGCCTGTTTTAGGTGTGCTTCCACATGCAGCCTAAGGGCGCAACCGTTTTATATCAGCTCTTGCATGGACAGGAGGCCAATCTGTCGTTACTGAAAAGGAGCTGAGAGTAGGACAGCAGGAGGCTAGTGATCCGAGTCTCTCTGAGTGTTGGATGGAAAAGTGTGAGTAGCTTCAACCTAATACATGTTTAGTCAGAAGCAAAGCTTTTAATTTAAGTAAATACTGCATCTGTATTCATTTGGCTGTGGTGTTTGCTGCGGCTGAGCTATAAAAAAGCTCCTCAGCTGGAGGGTGGGACATGCAGAGAGATGGCAACAAGCAAATCCAGTTAAATGAGCCCGAGGATGCAAACGTAGTAGTCAGATGTCTAAATGTTAAATGTGATTAGAAGAGTTGTTAAAACACCAAGCGATTTAAACCCGAACAGGTAAAAGGTGTGAGGAGGGAGCGTCCTGTAGCAGAGCTCTCTTCGTCTCACTTCATCTCAAACATGATCAGATGGAGGAAACTCCTGAGACATCAACCTTTGACCCTCTCTGTGTCCTGGAGCCAAAGGTGACCACATCTGGATCATAACAGGACCTGAGAAGGATCTCTGACCGGAGAAAAGACTAAATATGAGTCATGCTCAAAAGTACAACAACCGGACCGAACAGATCTGCTCCTATGTTTCTACATATTTAGCTTCAAATAATAAAGATTCAAATCTAAATATTCTGAAATAAATTAACATTTATAAACTTTGTTCTGAAATAACATAAAAATTAAAATGTCTGTTTTATGTTGTAAATATTTAATAAATACTGACTTTAAAACCATCAGGTTTATATTTAGATTTTAATATTCTTATTTGGTTTTAAAAAGTCAGACTTTATTCTGCTTAGATTTAGCTTAAGATTTAATTCTAAATATTGGTGTTTCCCATGATTGTTGAGGTTACCTTTAAATATTTGAATGAAATAAAGTAATTTTCTAATTAAATGTGGTGAAAAAATGCACACCTCACCTTTTGTTAGGAGGATGTAAATGTCCACAGGTCAGGTTACAGGTTACCTGCTTAAAACAGGTGACCTGTAACCTGACCTGAACCCCCCCAGCTTACAACCAAGGCTTCGCGTGTCAGTTTCAAGTTTCTTGAAAAACTGTGAAACTTTGAAAACTGGGTTAATTAGCTCCCTTTCCACGATATGAATGAGTGTGTTATTATGACGTAAAAGCGATCCTCGCAGGGGAACAGCGGTATTCGCACAACAACAATTTATTTGTCTCACAGTGATGTTGCCTCTGTGCTGGAGACCGGTGACAGCCCGTGTTTATACAGTTACCTGCATCCTTAGGTCAACATGGTGAGAGGGCATGAGGTAGAACGAAAACAAACAGCTCTCAGATCAATACGCTTCCCGTAACATTTAAACAAAAACATCTCCACCTTTTAACTGACGTGTGGAAACTTTCCCGGCGTGGTTCGCAGACTCAGAAACGAGCACAGTGTCATGGCAACCAGTCACACACTAATGTCACTGAAGCAGAAACACATGAAACAAAACTGTGGTTCCTAATGACAGGGTTAGGGTAGAGCTGAGAAGGAAATACTCAGAATCACAAGAAGAGATCTCATTTAAGAACGGTGACAGAAATACTTGAGCTACAGGGTTTGCTGCAACATGTTCTCACTCCCTATCATCATCACCGATGCTTGGTCAGGCTCAGCGTCTCGCAGGTTTTAGAGGAACACGGATCTCTCCTTCAGTATAATAGAGCTCCGACGTTTACCAGCTATCTAGTCGTTCCTTTTTATTTCTTTCATCATCAGATTTCAGTTTTAACTCATTTCGTGCTGCTTCTCTGAATATATGCAGTAATTTTATTATCTGGTCTGTATAAAAAGCTCTTTCATTTATGTTTTTTTTTACCAACAATAAATGACTAGAAGAACCATGCTGGAGCCTGGAGATCGCTTTGAGATTATAGAAAGAGAAGCGTTTGTTTCCCAATAAAAATAAAACTACTAACCAAGCATCGGGATGTGACGAGTAGGGAGTGAGAATGTGTTGCCTAAATGCTCCAGCTATGGGACGGAGGCTCCACCACAGCAGGTGTGAGTGCATCTGCAGCACGGCGAGAAGGCATTTGCAGTATGGTCTGTTAAGAAGGGCAGCAAAGAAGCCACTTCTGTGTAAGAAACCCATCAGGGACAGACTGATTCTGCTCAAGGCAAGAGAGGGCTCTCACTCACAGTTTAACCTCTGAACAGCCATGAATGAAGATGGTACCTAGACGTCCTCTCAGAGGAACTCCTCCAAACATCCAACAGCAGTTTGTGATGAACAATGTCTTCTCCAGCAACAGGCCAGAACATTAAATAACAAATGATTACATAAAAAATAAAATAAAATTGATAAAATAAATAAATAACTAAAGCTTCGTTTAGAATGCATTCGATGAGGCTGGACGTGGTTCAGGTGGCAAAGCATCAACATGCTGGTCCAGAACTCTGTTAACTCTTAGACGATGAAGAACGAGCTCCTTCAGTCAGGATCTGGACGCGTCATTGCATCATAGGATGTCTAAGCAACATTCTGCCTTTCTCACCTCTGATTGGCTAGAAGGGCTCTACTACGATTGGCTGTTTCATTTAGCAGCAAACTGTCTTCCCTCGCTAAGTGCAGACTGTCCTCCTGCCACCAGCAGAACAGCTGTTTTGGGGAGATTTGTAAAGAAAATGTGAACTTAGTGCTAATATAACCATTTTGCCCTGTTATGCAAAATAGTTTTTTTTCTTTCTGTTTCTTTCATTAAAAACAATCTGAAAAACATAAAATGTGAACTTAAAATGAATTTTGTTGCATTTATCGTACGGGTGAGCTTTATATCTCTTGGCTCTCAAGCATTGAGGTTATCTTTTTAAAACAGAGTACGTAGGATTAGCATACGAGTGCCTTACCTGAGTATGAAATATAATACAACTGCTCTATTTTGCTAATCTGTGTGCAGCAGGTTTGTTTCTCTTCTAGAATAATGAAAACTGGAGAAAAATGGGTCTAAATCAAATCAATCAATTAATCAAATGATCCACATTTAAACAGATGATGAGAGACGTATGCTAACTTGCAAACAACCTTAACCTATGAAAGTAAAGGCAAAGGACAGCCTGTAATCAGATAACCCCAAAACATAAGAGCCAACAGATATAAAGTCAGCCCAACAGTGGGATAAATGCAACAAGATTTACGTTTTCCAAGTTTTTTCTTTAATGAAATAAACTCAAACTGTTTTTTTGCAAAACAGGACACAATGGTTATTATATCACTAAGTTAACATTTTCTTCATAAAAACTCATTAAGATCTGGCTGCAGATAAAAAACCTGCAGCAAGGGAAAACAGTTTGCTGTTACATGGATTAGCCAATCAAAGGAGAGAAAAGCAAGATCTTCCTCGGTCATCCTATGATTCCAAATGATGTGATCTGGACCAAAAGAAGATTAACAGCATCTCAGGGAGAACTTTAGAGATGTTTAGAAAATAAATGTCTACACTGTAAATATTGACTCTCTGTATAAACTTAAGAAACATAATTCTACTTCAGTAACCACAGGAACATCTGACAAAAGGCTCTAAAACATGGATGCTGCAACCTTTTCTCTGATATACTGACCACGACCATAAACCTAATTCAACCAGGAACTTCAGATATCATCATTAACATAAAGAAACCAGAGCGGGTTTTCACTTGACTCCAACAAAAAGCTTCTGAGAATATCATGAAACAAAATCATGAAACAAATGGAAGCATATATCAACAAGTTATTTTTTCCTTTCTTTCCTTTTCAGAATAAAATTTTACATGATTTTCCTTTGTGAAGCCAAACAAAGGAGGAATTCTGTGCACATCAATCTCAGGACAAAAAGGCAACGTGGACACGTCGGAAATTCCTGTAATCTGTGTTCGGTACAGTTTGTTAAACCGAAACACTTGGCGGTCCGACTGAAATCTGACTTCCAACACTCTGATCCATATCTCGCTCCCTGGAGAGGTGGTCTGACTGCAGTAGCTGCAGCTCTGTTGAAGTGTGGCTGAAACTTCCTCACACACTTGCCAATCTGACTCCCCAGTGAGCTGTAGCAGACCAGATGGTCACACACAGACACACACTTTATGCTCCATGCCTCTGCTGATGCTGACTTATAAAGACACAAACAGTCAAATTCAGGACTTGGAAGTTTATAAAATCTAATAAATGGAGTCAAATGAACCCCCACAGTCATGGTGTAGAATAAATAGAGCTGTGCTGTCAGTAGCCCCGCCCACATCGCCTTTTAACGCAGCTAATGGAAAAATATCCAGAGAATTAGAGGAAGCTTCAGTCAGTTGCATTGTTCAGTTTCTCTCCTTTGGTTTATAACAAGGAGGTGAGGGGTGACAGGTCGGGGGCAGCTGTAAATACACTCGCTGGGGGAGCGGGGCGGCCTGCAGGCCGAGGTTTGCTGAGGAGTGATGGGAGAAGCAGCCATCCCCAAAGGATCATTGGTGGTTACAGCCCAAGTCATAACAGCAGGGCTCATCCAATCTAGAGTGATTTACAGTAGACTCCACTTCCTAACTGGTATTATTGTGTGGTTCTTTACTTCAGGTTGGTTCAGCTGTGTTGCTGCTTGTTGGGCGACTGGTGGCCTCAGCAGCTATTCAACTTGACACTTGGTTAAGATGCTTTCTGATGGACTTGGAAGAAAATCTACATATTTTTAAAAGGTCCAACTGATCTCAAATAGCTGGATGAAATAAAGACAGGCCCGCCATGCCAAACTGGCTAAGTCACTGGTCTTAGAAATCCTTAAAGACGGCTTATTTGCAAGTGAGGAAAAAGTATTTTTCTAATTTCTC